CATGTGTGCTTAGAAGCAAAAGTGGCAAAAATCTGAAATAGCAGGGTTTTTTTTTTTTTTTTGGTTTGGTTTTTGATTTTTTGTTTTTTTTTTCTGCCTCCTTCTAAGACCTAATATTGATTCAATTAGAACAAGAGAATATTCCAGAACCCCCTGGGAATTTCTGCATTGGCCTGTCCATGCTTACTTTTCTAGATACTGTCTCATTTTACATGATGCTTTTTCTCTTGATTCAGACCAGAATTCCCAGGAGCTGCTCTCTACTGGTGCCTCTGAGGAAAGTTCTAAAACTCAGGTCTACACAATGACAAGCAGCTTTAAGCCCTAAGAGCTTTGCTTTGAAGTCAGTTTGAGGCTTTGAAGTCAAGGCTTTGAGACACAGGAGCAGTAGAGAGGAATTAATCTAGCCCTCGGACTTTGCCTGCAGCTTTTACAGAACTTGTGCAGCTGAGGGTGAAAAATCTAAATTTGAAGCAGGATATATGGAAATTGAAAAAGTCATTGGGTCCACAGCCTAATGCCAATATTTCAGCGGTCTCATTAGTGGTGGACATTAAGTGCTGGAAGTGCTTTTGGAATTTACAAATCTTTACCTGTTGTTCTTAGACCTTGCCTCATTGAAAGGTCTTTGTTTGGGCTTATGATCTAATTCTCTCTTGACCTTCTGGTCATATGACATGATAACACCCTCTACATTATAACTCATTAGAATTTGTAAAGCATTTCTTATTCATTATATCATTTTATCAGCAACGTCTGGAGTAAGATTCTATTGATCTCATGAACAGGGGAGGAAATGAATGTTCAATAAATGAATCAGTCTACCCCAAATCACTCATCCAGGACTCAGAGCCAGGCCCTTCAACTTTTAATCTAAGGCCACAGGATGATCTAACCCCAGCATTTTTCCATTTTAACCTTCCCAATCCCTTTGTTCCTACCTGAGACTTGAAATTTTATGTTGAATCTTTTTTTATCTGAAGCCCATCAATGTCTCATTTAATGCTATAATTATGAATTCCAATCAAATTAAAAATGGAAGAGACCCCTAACAGAGAAAACTAGAGCACATAAATATGTGTATTTTAATAAATGAAGTGTTCTGACTTGATATGGAAAGGAAGAGAGATGTTTGGTTCCCCGAACTAAGACATGCAGCCGTAGAGTTTTCTAATGAACTAAAATTAAGCAATGTACCTCTTTATTACTCCTCCAGTCATATTATACTCACCATGCAACAAGCTTAATAAGGCACATGGCTTTTTTAAGGAAGCCAAACTATGCATATTCTAGGAGTTGAAAATATTTTTGTCACTCCAGTTCATAAGATGCAGAAACAAAGACCCTGTAAGTTCAGCCTCATTTTGCAGTTGAGAAAACTGAGTCTGAAACAGGAGAAATGCCTTGCCGAGTTCAGATGTTGAGCACAATATTTAGTTGTACTGAGCCCCAAACGTTGTCATTGCAGGTTAGTTTGGGATGAAGCAAATTGGATGAGGAGTTCAATGAAAACCCTAGATCTGGTTAATCCAAACTGTTTTTATAATCACAGCTTAATCTTGCAACATATGTGAGCGTATGGAACATACTTCTGTTCAGACTACCCAGGAAATAAATGTAGTAAACTTGCTCTCAGAGGTTATGTTACTTGACCTGTGGCATAGACCAGGTACTCTTACATCCATTTTACATGTGGAAAATGGGAGGGTGGGAGGTAGGGAGGGCTTTATAATGCTACAGGACATGACACTGAGTTCTCTCTATTGTTTCATGATGCCTCTGAAAGCATAACCTGAGATCTGGATACTCCCTTTCTGACACCTGCAGGAATCTGACTCTACTCTTACCATGGAGCATGTGGCTTATTAACATACTCTGGTTTGCCTCATGGCAAACTTGCTCCATCTGTAAACAGTAATCTCCATCAGTAACCTTCACCAAGCTCCCTCCTGAGACCTACGTAGGAATGACCTATGATCACCCAGTCCTCATACTAACATTGCTCGTGATGTGTGCATATGGGTGTGATGTTTAGCTTACTAATCCCACAAATCTCTGACAGCAAACCAGTGCAGTCCATTCTGCTGATGTTCTCCCTGTCATTTTGCTAGGCCAACCTGTCTTCAGGAAGGTTCATGCTAGAGAACATCCGATTCCCTCTACTGTAATCACCATTGCAGGTATTCGTTTCATCATGGCCCTTAAAAATCACAGCCTTCAAATGTTCTTTATAGCTTTAGATATTAGAGTCATACATGTTAGCCCCTGTCCTCTCTAAAGCATTGCTAAATAATGCAATAGCTTCTCTGGCAGCTGGGGTTGCCATGGACCAGCAATAAAACACAACCACATCAGGGCAGAGTAAGAAGCACGCACAAACCAACAGACTGATCCAATGACTTCTCCCTCTCAGGTTTCACTATATTCCAGATTCCTTGCATATGTGTCTTCTTACACATAAGTCTTTCATCTCAAGTATAGTGAGATCTCTTTAAAGTAGACCTATATTTCTTCCCAGAGTCTGCCTCTTGGCAACGTGATGCTAAACAGATATGCACCGATGATAGTGCATCTGTGGGGGTCTCTCCATAGGGGGAAAAAAGTAACAGTGATAAAGTGGCTAGAGGATTACTCCCTATCCTAGATCCACCACAGGTTTCAAGCCTGGATAGCATCTTTTTGCCTAAGTCTCCAAATGAGGTCAAGGATATTTACTCTTCAGTCATCACAATCACTCGATGATGGCCACCGTGGTAGAAGCATTTCTGCTTGATCCACTGGCAGTTTCCACGTCCTCACCTGGCACACCCCCATTCAATAATCATGATACCCAGTTCTGACTACAGAGTTGTCACAGGATATTCCTCATGGAAATAAAAGTATCCATTTTATTAGACTCTGGTTAAATAGGCCAGCCAGGTACTAAAAACTATTAAGAGACTCCTGCTTTCAGGCTTGTCAGCATAGTTCTGAGTGAAGGATCAAAACAATCTCAAATTGTCCCACCTCTGGCCTTGTACCTTTTTCCAAATCCTACATGGCTTGTTAAGATTAAAAACGTACTCAACAGTGGCTATATGAGATAGACCATGGGGATTGTGCTATTTTCTAATAGGGATTTCCACTGTCAGCCCTTTACATCTTAGTGACACTGCTTCAAAATGCAACTGGAAACAGAAAGCATTCGAAGCAGATTTTCCATAATTCTACTCTTCTCGTATCCCAAGTACCTATTAGCTTTTATTATTTATTGTGACTTTCTCAAAAAGGAGGTCCTCCATGGATGATTATATCAGAGGATTGTTTTATATCCCATCAATATTGATTTTAACAGTGGCTGTTATGCATTTGATGTTTAAGATGTTTTGATTACTTAAGATTATATGTTAATTGATTTACTCCCAATTTCTCAATATAATATGGTGTGCTTTAAAGTATACATGTAAATGCACATTGCATGATATAATTAATTTTCTCTATTTAAGAAACAAAATTAAAACCACAACATCTTACCCTTCTGCTTAAGTAAGGAAATAAAACTGACATTGACCTTGGTTAAATTATCTGCATTTGATCCAGTGCTCAACATTAAAAAGCAACAAACATAATAAATTATAAAAAGAAAAAATATAAGATGTTGAATCATTTTCCTTTTCAATAAGTTACCTAAAGAGAGAATACTAAAAATAAATAAATAAAATAGACTCAACTCTCAATCTTTGCTAATGTCAGATAGCTAGATCATCATAAAAGCTAATTTATCATCAGTGTCATTGTAGAATAATAATAAAATGTATCTATGTTCCATCTCTCAGTTACATATAAAATTATCTCTTAAATGTTTATGATACTGATTAAGAGAGAATAGTCCTAACCCTGACATGATTCTATGTCATTGTACTTTTTTCCCCCCCAATGGGGTCTCCCTGTCACAATTGTTCTGCCTCAGCCTCCCAACTGGGACTACAGGCATGTGCCACTATGCCAGGCTCTTTTTTAGACACAGTCTCACTGTATTTCCCAGGCCATCTTGGAGTACATGACCTCCTGCCCAAGCCACTGGAGTCATAGGCTCAGGACTCTGTACCTAGCCTTTAGGTTGTACTACTTGTTGAACTCAAGCTTCCCACGTGGTTCCAACCTGTGGACCCCAGTGTCTTAGCAGCACATGCCAACATGGTTGGGCCATGTGCCATTGTACTTTGACTTCTATCTGCCTGGAATGATCCTCCTCACTCCACCGCATACTTCAAGATCAATTTCATATAGCTCTTCTTTCCCAAAGTCTTCCCCAACTCCCTGAGGCAGAGCAAATTGCTCTCCTCACCTGCTTCTTATGTCCCTTAGCATACTATACTGGAAATAATCCATCTACCTGCCTCTTTTCCCACTAGGCCATGAGTTCCTAGAAAGTCGAGTGGGATTGGAGTTGAGGCAAAGGGAGGACTATGGCTGAGCTGGCATATGACATGTTAAATAAATAAATGATACTTTTTTATATATAAATAATTAATTTAGAGAATTAATTTATAAGGAATTAATTTAGAGTGGTAGTTCCTAAATCCCAAGTCATCATTTGGGAGATATTTCATGCAAGAAGAGGTAGGGTTTCAAAATAATAAGTAGGATTTAACTAGATGGATGTAGTAAAGTTTTTGAAGGTGGATAGGCAATGAAGTAAAAGTGTGATGTTAAGAATTCCAAGTGAGATTGAGCAAGAGTGTGTAGTTCGAGATAAAAACAAGGTACCTTATTTTTCTTTGGGTTAGTATAAAATCTGCTAAGACAGTATTTTCTAAATTTATGTCATTCCCATACCTCCTTAACAAGTGGTTGGAGAGAAAATACATTTACAGTCTTATACTGTATTTTCCAATATAGTTATTGAAAAACACCCATGTATAATTGGACCTGCACAGCTCAAACCCATGTTGTTCAAGGATCATTTGTTTATGAACTAATTAGTATCAGTTACAGATCTAACAGAATAAAAGCAAGCATATCTTCTTGATCAGAAGGACCTGAAGGATTACTGAAAAAGAAAGTATACCTTTACTCACTGTATGATTTTATTTTATTTGCTACCAAATGTCATATTCCAAATCAATTTTCCTTTTGTGAAATGCTGCACTAAACAATGTCACCACATTACCTTTCTTTTGTGATCTTTCTAGTTTTTTTCTGCTTAAATTGCTTTGTTTTCCCTTAAAAGCAACTTATCATTTGTAAGTAAATACAGAAAAGAAGGTAAATAGTATCACCTGATGGATTTACAATCCACAGTTACTAAGTTATGATAGTTCTTCTGGGAAAATAATTGTTTGACATGAGTCTTCAAAGCATCCCTGCTCAGCCAAATTGCCCATCTATATGTCTCTCTT